TATATGCATCTATACATCGCTGAATCAAGCAAAGCGTGAGTGTGCCTCCTGTGTCTGGCCTCTCCCGAGCCCCAACCCTCCCCCCTCGCCCCCCTCAGAGCCCTAAGCCTGTCCAGATCCGTTCCGGCATTCCACCTCGAGCTTCTAGGGACACCTTCCAGGGGAGTGAAAGTGTTTCGAAGCGGCTCCGTAGGCCCTTGTTCCTCCCTCCCCAGCCTCAGCGCCAGCTTCATTCGTATCTGGGCGCCTCTTTTCCGTCACCCGTCTCCAGGCTAAGTTCAGGGATTGACACGCCTACGATGGGAGCCATTTTGAGACTCTGGAATCGCGCAGGCGTTAAGACCTGCGGTGTGATTTCCGTCAGTGTGTGACTGCACGCGCTGACTCGGGTATAGCCCCATATTAGAGGCATTATGTGATTGACGACTTCACAAATTCTTTACGCTTCGCGTATCCCCACCAGCCCATCTCACAACAGCAACTCTTGCGAAGCATGCCGACAGTCGTGTTTTTCAGGCGTGTTTCCGCCTGCCCCCGCATATCTCCCCTGTTCCTCCTTCCTCCCGCCTCCTTGTACATCCTCCTTGTGGTGGGAGCGGGAGAAGGACGAGGCGGAGGAGGAGGGAGAGAAAGCGCTCCTCGTGGTTTGAGTCGTTTGGGGTTTCTCGTCCTGGTGTGAGTCGTTCGGGCCCTTCTTCCTGGTGTGAGTCGTTCGGGCTCTTCGTGGTGTGAGTCGTTCGGGCTCTTCGTCCTGGTGTGAGTCGTTCGGGCTTCTCGTGGTGTGAGTTGTTCGGGCCCCTCGTCCTGGTGTGAGTCGTTCGGGCCCCTCCTCCTGCCCGTCCAGAAACGACGCCCAGGCGAGTAGAGGGTCGTCCTGATGGGCTTTTCGGCGTCTTGGGTGCCTCGGGGGGGCCTCTTTGGGCCGTTTGGGATCCTCTTGGGGGCCTCCTGGGGGCCTCTTGGGGCCATCTTGGGGCCTCTTGGTGCCTCCTGGGCGCTTCTTGGGGCCATCTTAGAGGAAATCGATCAAAGAAGAGGGGAGCTTTAATTAGCGCTGCCCCCTCAGAAGGCCAAAATGGGGCCAAAACCTTAGTAAAATCAATGATTTTGGCTTGAAAGAAGAGGGGAGCTTTAATTAGCGCTGCCCCCTCAGAAGACCAAAATGGGGCCAAAACCGTAGTAAAATCAATGATTTGTGCTTCAAAGAAGAGGGGAGCACTTTTCTCCCCCCCCCCGTCGGGGCCAGAATCCTCGTGAGGGGTGTAGTTTTTTTGCCCTCCCAGGGGTCGAAAAAGACCCCCCCGGCGACCCGCGGAGGGACCTCTCCAGGCCCAGGGGGAGGGGGTAGGGGGAGGGGTAAACCCCTCCCCGAAGGGGAAGAAGGGGGGTTGAGAACAGAGAGAGCTCGCTAAACCACTCACGCCCAAAGGGCTGGTGGGATTGCTGCCTCCGAGGGGTCCGATCCGATCATACCTCCCTCTTTGAGGGAGCCTTAATGTTCGAAGGTTGCGGCCAGAGCTCGGCCAAGCTATCGGACTGTGTGTTCCCCCAGCCGTTTTTGATACCCGTGGTGAACACGTGGGGGAGGAAGAAGAGGAGGAGGAGAGGGAGGAGGAGGAGGAAGAGGAGGCCTCTTGGCATCATCTTGGGGCACTACTGGGGCCTCCTGGGAGCTTCTTGGGGATCCTTGAAGGCCTCTTGGGGGCCTCTTGGGGCCTTTGTGTGTACGTGTGTGTGTGTGTGTTTATGTGTGTCTGTGCGCGTGTGCGCGTGTGTGGATGTTCCGGCGTCTGCATGTGTGTGTGTGTGTTTGCGTGTATGGGTGTGTGTGTGTGTCCGTGTTTGTGTGTCTGTGTTTGTGTTTGTGTGTTTGTTTGTATTTGTTGTTTGTGTGTGTGTCTGTAAGTATGTGAGTCTGTGTGTCGGTGTGTCTGTGTGTCTGCGTTTGTGTGCGTGTGTCTACGTGTGTTTGTGCGTGTGTGTGTGTGTGTGTGTGTCTCACTGTGTGTGCGGGTGTGTGTGTGTGTGTGTCTTGTGTGTTGTGTGTGCTGTGTGTATATGCGTGTGCTTGTGTGCTCGTGTGTGTTTGTCAGGTGTGTCAAGTCGCGCGCGCGTTTGCTACTTCACGAGCTTCTCCGCCCTGTCGTTGCGCGCAGGGAGCGCGACTCCACAGCGTGTGTGTATGTGTGTGTTATGTGTGCGTGTCTGTGTGCGCGTGCGTGTGTGTGTTTTCCAGGCTTAGACGCGCGCGCGATTGTTGCGTTTGACCTTATACGCCTTGTCTCTGCGCGCAGGGCCGCGACGACAAAGACGTGTGTGTGTGTGTACGTGTGTGTAGATGTGTATGTGTTTATATATATATATATATATGTGTGTGTGTGTCTGTGCGCGTGTCCGCGTGTCCGCGTGTGTGCGTGTGCAGACGTCTGCGCGTGTGCGTGTGTTGTGTGTGTGTGCGTGTGTGTGTGTGTCTGTGTGTGTTTGTGTATTTGTCTGTATATGTGTCTCTGTGTGTGTCTGTGACTGTGTCTGTGTATCCGTGTGTCTGTGTGTGCGTGCGTGTGTTTGTTTCGGGCGTGTCTTAGTCGCGCGCGCATTTGCTGCTTGACGGCTTTACGATGTTCTCCGTCCTGTCTCTGCGCGCAGGGCCGCGACGCCAAAACGTGTGTGTGTGTGTGCGTGTGTACGTGTGTGTGTTATGTGTGTTTGCGCGCGTGTGCCAGTGTGCGCGTGTGTGCGTGTGCGGGCGTCTGCATGTGTGCGCGTGTGTGTGGTTGTGTTTGTGTGTCTGTGTGTTTGCGTGTCTGTATGTCTGTGTGTCTGTGTGAGTCTGTGAGTCTGTATGCCTGTGTGTCTGTGTGTCTGTGTGTCTGTGTGCCTGTATACCTGTGTGTGTGTTTGTGCGAGTGTGTGTGTGTGTGTGTTTGTCTGTGTCTGTGTCTGTGTGTTCGTGTGTGTATGTGTGTTTTGTGTGTTGTGTGTTGTGTGTTGTGTGTTGTGCGTGTGCGTGTGCGTGTGTGTGTTGTGTGTTGTGTGTTGTGTGTTGTGTGTGTGCGTGCATATGTGTGTTTGCATGTGTGTGTGTGTGGTTGGTGTGTGTGTGTGCATGTGTGTGTGCGTGTGTTTAGGGGGGGGCGGTCGGGCGGGCGAGCGGGCGTGGGTGCGTGCATGCGTCGGTGCGTGCGTGCGTGCGTGCGTGCGCGCGCGTGCGTGTCTGTGTGCGTGTGTTTGTGTGTGTGTGTTTGTGTGTGTGCGAGTGCGAGTGCGTGCGTGTGTGTGCAATTGGGTTTCGTCGAGGGGACGGGGGCGGGAGGGGATAGCGACATCCAATGACCAGGTGGTTGCATGATATAAGTATCGTGTGTTTGGGCGTGTGCGCGCGTGCCTCTGCGTGTCTGCGCGCCGGTGTGTCTCTCTGTGCATGTGTGTCTCTCTGTGTGTGTGCGCGCGCGCTCGCACCACCCGGCCAGTGGGCCATAACATGGGAAGTCCCTGATCCGATCAGGGGGAAATGTGGGGAGGAGGGGTTTGAGATTCCCGGTGGTCCCAAAAGGGCCGACGTAGTCGTAATCCAAGCAATTGCTCCTAAAGGTAGGGGCGCGCGTGCTTGCGTGTGGGTGTCAAATTGTGTCTCTGTCCTCGTGTGTGTATGGGAGATGGCGCCGAGGTGGGGTTGGATAGGGTGGTATGCGATATCATAGGAAGGGGTGGTTGCATGTTTAAGCTGCGCGCGCGAGTGGGTGCGCATGTGCGCATGCTCGCGCGCACCTTAGAGCGCCAGGAAGGCCCCTAGAGAACCGAAAACTTCGCCAATACACTTTAAATTCTGAGTTGTTCGTTGCTCGTCCCCCCTCCTCCCCCTCCTCCCCGGGCTCCCTCGACTCCTCCTGCTCCTCCTTCTCCTCCTCTTCTTGCTCCTCCTTCTCCAGAGTAATTAAGGGGCTGGAAGATCAGGAAGGCGGAGAAGGGGGATGGCAAGCAGAAAGGGGAAAGGAGAAGGAAGGAGAAAGGAGGTTCAAGGAGACAGGAGGAGACAGGAGGGGAAGCAAGGAGAAAACTCAATCTCTCTCTCTCTCTCTCTCTCTCCCTCTCCCCTTTTCTTCCCTTCTCTCCCAGCCTTTGGACGCGTCGCACGTTGGTCTCACACGGCTCCGCGACCGCCCACCGCATCCGAAGCTAACCCTCAAAAGGGCCAGCACTTCCACGCGCCAAGGGCGGCCCTTGCTTGGGGAACGTCTCCATTTGTATCTTGGGGTTCGTGGAGCAGCGCAAGGTCTACTAACAACGACTGCGTAGTCGGCTAGAACCTACGCGCGCGTAGCGCACGTGGTTTTCATACATATACATATATATATATGTGTATATATATGTAGTCAGAACAAATGTGTTCTCTGAATGGCCCATGCATGCTTTTATCATTAAGACCGTTGTCATTCGATTGTCCATGCTCCGACATGCTTGTCCAACACAGTTACAGAACGCATGGGCGAACACATATGTGAAAGCATAAGATTCCACGCCCCATGGCGATTGCCCCACATGCCGTACAGACTCCCAACATTATTGGTTACATCCCCTTGCTTAGTGCGTACAAGCCTGGACAAACCATCCGATTGCACATCACATGTTGCACTCAATTTCCTGATACTTGACGGCTGGGTTCCCACGCGCATGTTTCATCATTCAATCAATCTAGCAGTCTGAGGCCTCATGTTGGCCCTCTTCAGGCTTATGGCTTCTTGACGCCACCCTTGCGCAGTCTTGCAGGCACCTTGAGCCATCCAAGTGGCCTCATGGAACCCGTCTTGTGAGGTCATCCAGGCGGCTCTTGAGCCATCCAGGCGGCCACTCAGGCGACCTCCTGGGCTGCTCGCGTACTGCGGCCGCTCTCGGACCCCTTCCTCCCCGAGTCGCGAACATCAACCGCCGCAGGGCCGCAGGGGACGACGGACCTCTCCCGCGCCGGTACCCAAAGGGGTCGGCGGATTACCCTCCAGAAGATGTTCCAGAAAAAAGGCGTTCGTATAGACGGCCGCGCACACGGGACGTTCTTCGCTCCAGGAGCACAGACGTATTTCGGCGAATATGTGATCTCGTTCGCAGTGGCTACCGACTGGTTGGAGGGCCTCGAGCTCATTAAGGAATACGTTGATTCAGGGAATTCTGCACACGGCGGCACACGGTTCTCTGAGATTTTGAGTCTGGAGGATTCTTGGGGTAACACGGCCCTTCATTTGGCGGTGTTGAACAAGAGAAGGAGGACGTACACGTGGTTGAGGAAGCATGGAAACATCGGTGCCATCACTCAGCAAAATTGCCTTGGGCTCACTGCTATCTCGCTGGCCGCAGTGGTCAACGATGCAGCCACATTTGAGCACGTCCTCTGTGATATGTATCAGGTCAAATGGAATTTCGGCCATGTTACATGCTTCAGACTTCCGCTCGAACAGATCGAGACTGTTGAAACTGCCTCTCTTTATGAAAGCTCTGGTAGAAATTTAGACTCGATGGCATGTCAAGGCCCAGTAACAAGTAGTTCCATTAACAGTGGCAAGACATACCGCTCCGTCATCGAACTCATTCTCATGCAGCGGTCTGAACATGTTGTAATGAATCCGCTAATAATGGAGATTCTGCATATGAAATGGGAAAGATTTGGCCGATGGATGTTCGCGGGTAGTTGTGCCGTTCAAATTGGCTATTTGGCCACATTGGTTTTGTTGGCGAACGAGTATCGAAAACGCCTACGGCGAATCACTGCCGCCCCTTGCCTTTTGGAGTTGCCCATGTGGCCGAACATGGTGGCCAGAGCTCTGCCCAAGCTATCCGACCACGTGTTCCCCCAGCCGTTGTGGAAAACCTTCGGGGAGCACGCGGGGAGAAAGAAGAAGCGGAGGAGAGGGTGGACACATAGAAAGGAGGATGAGGGGGAGAAGGAGGAGGAGGGGGAGGAGGAGGAGAAGGAGGAGGAGGGGGAGGAGGAGGAGGAGAAGGAGGAGGAGGAGGAGGAGGAGGAGAAGGAGGAGGAAGAGGACTCTTGGGGCCCTCTGGGAGTTTCTTGTGGCCTCTTGGAAGCCTACTTGGGCATCTTGGGGGCCTTTATGGGCTTCTTGGAAGCCTTTTTGGCCGTCTTAGGACGTTCCTGGCCCGTCTGACGCTGTCGGAAGCCGCCTTGGGGGCCCCTTTGGATCGAGTTGGGGCCCTCTTGAGGCGCTTCAGGGCCATCTCGGAGGCCATCATGGGCGTCTTGGAGGCCTCCTGGGTCGTCTTGGGCCCCTCTTGGGGCCGTCTTGGCGGCTTCTTGGGCCGCCCTGGGGTCATCTTGGAGACTTGAAGGGCCATCTCGGGGCCCTTTTGGGCCGTCTTGGGCCGTCGGAAAGCCGGCAACAGTTGGCCTCTTCGGGTCCTCCTGGAGGACCTCTCTTGAGGAATCTTGCGTCCATCTTGGGTCGTCTTGGGTGCATCTGGGGGCCATCTTGGGCTCTCTTGGCGCCGTCTTGGGCCGTCTGAGAGTCCACATCGTGGGCCATCTTGGCCGTCTGGGAGGCATCTTGGAATCCATTTTGGGCCTTCTTGGGCGAGAAAGGCATCGACATGTACATTTTCCAGGTGGCCGGCACGCTGGGCCGAAGCCCCAGGGGGAGCCTAAAAGAATCGAAAACCTTTCAGCGCGCCAAGCACCCTTGTGGCAAGACCACACGGGGGCGGCGGATCGAAAACGCCTACGCCGAATCACCGCCGCCCCCTGCCCTTTTGGAAGCGCCGATGTGGCCGAACATTGTGGCCAGAGCTCTGCCAAGCTATCGGACCATGTGTCTCCCAAGCCGTTGTGGACACTCTTCGGGGAACATTTGAGGGAGGATGGCGGGGAAGATCAGGAGGAGAAGAAGGAGGAGGAGGAGGAGGAGGGGTGGGCATCTTGAGAGCCTCTAGGGGCACGCTTGGGGCCTCCTGGAAGCTTCCTCGAGGCCTCATGGAGGCATCTGGGGGTGCCTCCTTGGGCCTCTTGGGGGCCTTCATGGGCTTCTCGGGGCATTTGGCAGTCTTACGGCATGCCTGGCCCGTCTGCCGCCGTTGGACGCCGTCTTGGGGGCCTCTCTGGGCCGACTTGGAGCACTCTTGGGGTGCTCCAGGGCCGTCTTGGAGGACATCTTGGGCGTCTTGGAGGCCTCTTGAAGCACTCTCGGGGCCGTCTTGGGGGCCCCTTCGGCCGTCCTGGGGCCATCTTGGAGGCCTCTTGGGCGATCTTGGGGCGATCTTGGGGGACTCTTGGGCCGTCTCGGGCTGTCGCAATCCTTCAATCTTTCGGGACTCTTGGGCCGTCTCGGGCTGTCTCGGGCTGTCGCAAAGCCGAAAAGAAGCAAATGCAACAATCCTTCAAACACCTACGGAACAAAAAAACACTGATGTTTGCCTCTGCGGGCCTTCGTGGAGGCCTTCCTGGAGCCCCTCTTGGAAGCCTCTTGGGCCGTCTTGGAGAACTCCTGGGACCCTCTGGGCCGTCTTGGGTCATCTTGGAGCCATCTGACCTCGCCGTCGCTGGGGTGCTGCGTCCTTGTGCCTCTATTCAAACACCCCCGGCCTGCAAGCCGCAGCGCAGCCCCTGACCCAGACCAGGCGGGGAACGAACCTCTGCCAGCCGTTCCTGGCCGTCTTCGCCCGGCCGCCTTCGCGGGCGGACGCGCGCAGGGCGGCAGCGCTTAAAGGGGAAGGAGTAGGAAGAGGACGAGGACGAAGGGGGAAACCACCTCTGCGCACAACGCGCGGCGAGAGCAAACGAAGACGCGGCCGCGGGGCGCGAGCCACCAAACCCCACCGTTAGGCGCGCGCGCGCGCCAGCACCAAGCACGGTTGGAGGCCAGGAGGAGGCAGACGGGGGAGGGGGAAGAGGGAACACACGGCGAGCAAACGCCAACAAACAGGAGGAGATGGGGGAGGCAAAGGGAGCAGCAGGCAAGCGCGCACGTTGGGGGCGGGCGGGGGGCGGGGGGGGGCGGGGGTTGTCGGCGGCAGCGGCGGGGTCGTCGTAGGTCGGCGGCAGCGGGGGGGTCGTCGGGGGTCGTCTTGGGTGGGGAGGGATCGTCGTGGTCGCCGTGGGCCTGGAGATCAGAGGGCCGTCATAGCAGGGCCCGCCGGGCGTCAGGCGTTGCGGGCGGGGTCGCCAGCGGGGGCGGGGGCAGGGACGGGCCGGGAGTGGAGGGGGGGCCGCCATGGGGCTCTGCAGAGGCAGCTCATACGGCATCCGCCGTGGCGGTTGCCGTGGCCGCGGCCGTAGCGCCCGCTGGCGGCTGGAGGCGTCGCAGCATTGCCCGCGCATTTTTCCTGTGCAGGGAAATAAAAAGTCGCTGGGAAAGCTGGTCGGCCGCGAGCGCGGCGTCGTGTCCACTAGCTTCGGCCGCTCGCTTGGCGAGCGCCGCGAAAGTGCGTCGCGCCTCGCGGCCCCAGCCGCCGCCGTCGGCTTCGCAGACCATCGGTATGAACGCCAGGCTGGCCTGCGAGCATCTGCGCGCTATGTCCAGATGCAGGCGCGATTCTGCTCCTCGTAGCGGGTCGCCGCCTCGTCGCCGCCACCCTCCGCGGCCGAAGTCGCGAGTGGGTCCGCGCGGAGGCCCGAGGTCACGGCGAAGTCCCACGCCACCAGCGTGCCGCTTCACCGCGGAACGAAAACGTCCGCGGGGCGCCCGCCGTCGCCGTCCAGGTCGTCGCCGCCGCCTCACTGGCCGGGGGGCCCTCGCCGGGCTCGCGCGGCGGCAGCAAGCCCGGGCGATCGAGTACCGCCCCGGCGCAACCAGCGGCCAGCGCCTCGTGCCAGGCCTGGTTTTGGAGGCAGTTGTGGCGCTTCGCGCGGTCGCAGTGGCAGCTGCAGGGGAGCGCGTGGCTTGGAAACGCGTCCATTACCTTCCCGCGCGCGGGGCAGAAAGCTTCCTCCTCGAGCAGCTGGTGTCGAAGGCGACATGGCAGCGCCATTTGCATTAAGGTGCGCGGAAAGTCAGTGCTGAGTGCCGGGCACGGCGGCGCCTGCAGGTAGGTGCCAGCGCCTGGGGTTGACGAAAGCTCTCGTGGCCCGCGAAGCGCGCTGCCACAGGTCGTCGCGGACAGCGTCGTCAACCTTCTCGGAGAAGAGCCGTTGGTCTCCGTGCTCGGCAGGGTCGAAAGCGATCCGGCCAGCTGGAAGGAGTGTGTTGTTGATGGCCTGCGCGGCCGCGGCCAAGCTGCCCCCGTAAACCTGTCGGCCGAGTTCCGCGCTGCGGGCGCGGGAGGCCTGGTGGGCGGCCGCGGCGTGCCTTTCGGCGGAGCGGAGCCCAGGCCCGCTTCCGTTGAGTTTGAGCTGCGCTTGCTTCCAGGCGTCGTCCGAAGGGGTAGACCCGCTGAGTTGCCAAACGTGCCAGGACGGCGGTGTCCATGGCCTGCGGCGCGCTGGCGTGCGCCATCGGCGGCATGACGCGCGCGGAGTATCCCAGCTCGCAGTAGGAGGCGCACTTGCGGAGCAAGAGCAAGGCCACTTGAGCGTTCTCCAGGGCCCCAACAGCTTCCAGCAGGTCTACGACCTTGGTCGCCCTTTCCCTGGTGCGTTCCGCGCAGACGCGGTCGTTCCCCACGGGGCCCCCTAAGAGATCGAAGTTGTTTTTCTTGGGGCGGAAGCCTTGTGGCAACACGGCCATGTCAACCACCTTGCACTTGCTGGGCTTCGTGCTGAGGTCCAGGCCAACCGCGGCTATGCCTCCCACCGGCGGCGCAGGAGGCGGGCGACCAGGGGCGCGCCCCCCGCCAGGCAGCCGTCGTCGAGGTAGAAAACACTAATCCAGGGAGCCGTCGGCCGGGTCAGCTGGCTCAGCGCGCGCCTCGTCCACGCAGCGCTGCAAGGCGAGTGCGAAGAGCAGCGGGCCGAGCGGCCCCCCTGCTGGACACCGCGCTCGGAGCGCACGGTCTTCTTCCCCAGGAGCACTACGTTCGGGGCGCCGTAACACCAGTCTACGAAGGGGGCAAGGAATCGGAAATCTTCGAGAAGGGTTCGCAGGACCGCCTGCCTGTCCAGCGCGTCGAAGGCGCTCGACAAGCCCAGCTTCGCGAATACCTTCTGGCGGTCGCCCTGGCCCCTGGTTCCTGGTCCACTACTGCCGCGACACGTGGGCCGCGGACTCCGTTCCCCCGGGCACCGCTACTCCGAGCTGCAGAAGTGCTAGACGCGCGCGTGCTGCGTCTGATGCCTCGCCACAGAGGCACTTGCCCACCAGGCGGCGCAGCGTCTCCCCAACGGCGACTGGCCGCAGACCGTTGTTTTTTTGTTGGAGGACCGCCAGCGAGGCGCCCGCGAAGAGCTTCGCAGCGGCGGGGGGCGCCTGACCCTGGGCGAGCAGGTTGGTCAGATTGTGTAGCTGCTGCAGAAGTTCGCCCCTGTGGGTAGCCGTCTGCAGGCCGTCCTTGAGCCGCTGGGGTCGCAGGCCCGTCGGTTTCGCCGCCGACGCGCGGGGGAAGGCCCGCACTTCCCGCTCCACAGCGGCCGCGTCCACCTGCAGGGCCGCCGCAGCGTGTGCCGGGGGCAGGGCGGCGAAGTCGACCAGCTGATGGCCGCGAGGGTGCTTGCGGCACATCTGGTCGACGACAGCCAGGTTCACGGTTCACGTCGACAGGCGGCTCGCTTACGAGAGCGGCGCAGTTTCTCGAATACTGCGCGTCGGCCGCGAGCTCCAAGCACCGTTGAGCGCGTTGCGCGGCCTGGGAGCGCCGCTTCTTCT